ACTACATCTACGGATTTTCATGTATCTGAAAATCAGTAAAAGGGAAAAGATGATTATATACAATGATATAATGTATCAGTCTTATCTTCCGACAATTCATTTGTTGAATCTCTCCATTTGTAGTATGTAATCTAGATTTTGCATATTCGTCTGTTCTTGAATCTGCCTCAAATTTTCTCAGATTATTATTGTTGGGATCGGATCCATATCATCTTCCCGATATTGTTGGGTTCAAAGCTAAATCGGATGTACCCTGCGGAAAAAGTGCAGTTCGGATAGCACGGCTAAGTATGAGGTTGTCCCGGAATCTGTACACTGCACATGAAACATTGCCCTCAGATCTCGCCAGTTTACCATCTTCCTGCCTCCTGCGAGGGCTGTTGCTATCCATCACCATCTGTCGCCGCCTCCTTTCGTGGTGTGCATGTTGTCGTACTTGTCCATGTCAGCGCCGAGGTAGTCGTTAGTCTTGGGGGCCTTCTCCTGCTGATTCCTCTGCTGAAGCGCCCGCATCTTCCAGAGAGGGATGTAGCCCTTCCGGACCGAATCCTAGTTCATGGTTGGGATTAGCAATTTAGTCTCTTGTTCCTTATTGGGTTTAAGTACCCATAAAAATCTAAAGTGTTACCCAACTATGACAAAGAATCGTGGAGGCTCATGACCAGCAGCTGTGAAAGCTCATCCGCTTTCAGCGGCTGGAGGTTCAGGTTCACGAAATATTCGGACCAGCTGTTCAGGCCGTTGCCGTGCAGCGTCCTCCTCATCTGCTCCTGTAGCATGTTGATCTCCTCTGGCCGCGGAATGCCCTTCCTGGGTTCTTGGGAAAAGGGTTTAGTGATTGGGGGTTTGCGGTCTGGAGTTTAATAGGGTTTAGGATCTAGGGTTTAGGGGCTGAAAGTTTCAAGGTTCTTGGGAAAATCTGAAACTGACCCGTTAAAGGAACCCCTGAAGATCCCTTAAAGGATCCCTTACAGGAACCCCTTGAGATCCCATAGGTGCCGAGCTGCTGCTCCTCGTACTCTGCCCAGCGCATGTCGGTGCAGCTCACACCCGGGCCGCCCCGCTGCTCCTAGGTACCAGGCGATTGGGATTACCGTTTAAGGTTTGCGGCTTAAGGCTTAGGGTACCAGGTGATTAAGGTGTACGACTTAATGCTTAGGGTTGTCGGCTTAGGGTATGCCAGTAATCCCTGACAAGTAAAGCCACCCTTCTTTCCTACACTGTTCTGTTTTAGCCACTAAGCTTTACTGTCAGGGCCCCGGGGGGCAGAGTTTCATTTCGGTCCCATAAGAAATGAGCCCCCTCTTATGGCTGCCGCAAACCGAAACCCTTAACCCTGCGTGCACCCGAAACCTCCGAACATTCCAAACCCTACACCCTAATTACACCCTAAACCCCTAAACATCCCCAAGCCCTACACCCCCCTAAACATCCCTAAGCCGGTTTAGGGTGTAGGGTTTAGGGTAACTTAAACGTCGAAACTATACTGAACTTAGAACCCTAGCAAAAATTATAATTTTAGCTGTTTCCTAGGGATTTATAATAACCAAAAATTAGAAATTATTTCTAAGTACCCTTAAGTAAACCCCCTAGCGCTGGGCAACCAAGGCTCTGCCGCAAGAATCTCCGCCGACGTTGCCTGCGCCCCGTAGCGTTTGAAGACCACGTTGCGCAGGAACCTGGGTTTTTTTGGGGGCTTCGGTGGGTTTAGGGCTTCCTACTTGTCGGGTATCATGGGAAATTGAAACTTAACCTTTTTTGTTTATATGGGGATTATATAGGGGCTATACCACCACGTTGCGCAGGAACCTGGGCTTTTTCGGGGCTTCGCAGGGCTTTACCCATAGGACCCATAGTAGTTCCTTTTTGGGATTACCTTATTATATGTGAGCCCACAAAAAAGAAACTACTTTGGGGCCTATGGGTAGGGCGTAAGGTGGGTCTTCTCTTTTATGTACTGCTGGGATTTAGGGTTCCTTGGGGGGGTTTTGGGGGGGATCTTGGGCGCTTCAGCTTCGAGCCCTGTTTAGGTTTAGGGCTCCCTGTTTAGGGTTTAGGGGTTTAGGGTTTAGGGGTTTAATGGTTTAGGGGTTTAGGGTTTAGAATTTAGGGCATGGGCAGAATGCTATTTTCTCGTTACTGGGCACCATTACAACGAAGCTTGAACCAATGTCTGTAAAGCTCTAGACAACTCTCAGAATACAAGCCTCAACAAACCTCAACTGATAAGACCTCATGCAACCCTGTACAACGCACCACATTAAGATCCTTTCATCAGAAAGCCAGTCAACCATTATCTACTATGCATCCCCATATATCTTGGTAGCTTAATAACAATATGTAGGTTTCCGAAACACGAGCCCAGGAACCAGACGTTGAAGCAAAGAAGTCGGATCGAAACCATGCTGGCCTTGAAGGTACGCTCCAGTCTGTTCTCCGGGCTTGTACCAAAGCCTGGGTTGCGGAACTCAGCTTCTGGCCCTAAACCCCGAAACCCTAAACCGCTAAACCGGTTTGTCTTTCAGCGGGCTTTATGAGGGCCTTTGGGGGGTGTTATGAGGGCTTGAAAGGATGTTTGTTCGGGCTTTGCCAAAGCTCACAAGCGCTGATGTCCGGGACATGGGAGGGCTTTTGAAGGATTGATATAATATAGAAGCCTGAAGACTAAGAATTACCAATATCGTTCTCTGGGGGTTCCTCATTATATTTCTACTATACACTATACCCAAAACCCTCTTCTAAGTCTTATGGCCCCTATACTAGGCCACATATACTAACCCTTATAGGCCCTTTAAATAAAAGGAACCCTATTCCAATTTCCAAACCCTAAACCCCTAAGCATTTTCAAGGACCCAGAAGCCAGCCAGAGACGGGTACTTGTCCAAAGCCCAGCTTGCGTTCCGATCCAACGTCTCTTTGAGCACAGCAGCAGAAACGTCGTCCCAGGTGTACCTTATTTGCTGAGTTCACAAGCCCAAAAGAGTCTAAGGTTTCAGGTCTGTAGGGGATAATATTACACCGAAAAACTTACAGTATACTCATGCAGCCACGAAGGTACTTCTTGGAAACAGCCAGCAGGCAAAGGAACTCCCCTAGGTTCGGGCAGCTTTGCTTCGTTCGGCCCGCCTCAGACCGTACGAAAGTCCCGATCTTCGACTCCACCTGAGCCTGACGAGTTAAGGTTATTTTTTTTTTTTTTTGAACCCTCGTGTCTTTTAACCGAAGCCTCCAGACTACCGTACCGGTTGAGGGAGTGTGTGGGCGACAGGTACATTGTAAAGGGATTCAACCACCACGAGTTAAGGTTCAGGGTTTAGGGTTTAGGGTTTAGAATTGAGGGTTTTAGGATTTAGAGTTTAGAATTGATTGAGGGTTTTAGGATTTAGGGTTCTTTCTCCGCTTTAGGGTTGTGGGGTTCAGGGCTTAGGGCTTGGTACTGACGAGCCTGCAGTGAAGGGTACTGGCGAAGGATGGAGAGCAAGAGGTGGTGAAAGCCCATGTAGCCTTGGCTGACTTCTGAACCCCTCCTAAAAGTTAAACTTTTAGCCTCCCTATTATAGTTCATATAGAAACCCAAAAAGTTAAAGTCCTAAGAGCCATCCAGAAGAACGCCAAGTAGCCCTCTAAGGCTTTCGTGGAAAGGTGGAGATCACCTTTCATCAGTTGGACGGTCTGCAAGTTCATCAACTTCGGCAAGACCTGGGATTTTCAGAAAACACCAAGGGCCCTTAGTCTAGAACCGAATCAATAGCATCCGTCTGTAAGGACCCTGAATTTGCACCCTTCTGTTTCTAAAATAAAGACCCTAGATCAGGCGCCCTCAACCCTAGATCGTAGAGCCAATACCCTACGACTTCGACCCGAAAAAGGACCCGACAACCCGCCTCCAAGCCGTAGGCCACGTCGGCCTCTGTGAGGCTCGCCACAGGGGGAAGCCCAACTGGCTGAGTCTTCTCCTCCTCAGCTTTGGGGTTTCTAAACTGGGTTAACCCCTAAACCCTAAACCCCTAAAGCCCTAGAAGTTTAGGGGTTTGGTGGCTTAAGCTTAGGGTTTAGGGGTTTAACCGTAAGGGTTGAGTCCTTTATCGTGTAACTGCAATCAGGAACCCTACGGAACATATTGAGTTTTTTATGGGTTTTCTAAGCTTGATATAAGGTCATCCAGAAGGACATGCATCCTACGGTTTAGGATTTAGAGTTCAGGGTTAAGGGTTTTGAAGCTGTTTAAAGCCTCAGGGTTACTAAACTTCTTGTTCAGGAACTTAGTTTAGGTTACCATAACTTGGGCTTCGTTGTCCTTGAAGGGTTCCTTATGGGCTTAGGAGCTTGCTTTTTGGAGTTACCATCTTCGGGATCTATAGTAGATAAAGAAGCCTCAACTTAAAACCAAGTTCCTAGCAAGAACTCAGAACTCAGTAAAGGGTTTTATTCCAGGGTTAGGGTCTAGGGCTAAGGACATCCCAAACACTAAAACTTAAGGGGTTTCGGTTGAGGATTCAAGAAATCCTAAACCCGAAACCACTAGGTTTAAGGTCTAAAGTAAATCCTGAACCCTAATCCTTCAGGTTTTAGGAAATCCTAGTTCTAACCCTAAACCTTAAGGGTTCTAGGGTTCTAGGGATCTTTAAAGCCAAGTTTCCGCCTCTGGCTTGGGCTTCTCCTTCTCCGGCTGGGCCTTCTGCTTCTTGTACCTGTAGCCGCCCTCCCCCCCGGCAAGCACGGTTTTTGAGTGGGGTTAGGGTTTGGGGGTTTCTGGGTTTTGGGTTTCAGGGTTTCAGGGTTTAGGGCTGAGTGGCTGTAGGACTTAGGGATTCAGATTGGTGGCTTGCGGCGTAGGGGTGTTTAGTACTGGGCTTGCGGGTCGCCCCAGAGCCTAATGTAGGGGCCTTGATAACTAGAATAGGGTTTTGGGATAACAAAGAGCCCCTACAAGAGGTAATTGCTTAGGTCCCATAGCCTGTGAAACAGCAGCAGTGCTGACCCAAGTAATTAAAGCTCTAACACTCAGGAAAGAAGCAGTGACAGCAGAACAAGCGTCTAGTATGCTTATGTTCCAAGATCATGCAACTTCTCTGTCATACTTTGAACTATGGTAAACGATGGTACACTATAGTACACTCTTCACATATACATATATATATATATATTTATTTATTTATTTATATATAAATATCTATATATATATATATATATATATACATACACAGTATAAGCCGGAATCGGAGCCGTAGGTACTCGTCCAGGCTGACCATCTTCTGACCCGTCCGCTGGAGCTCGCGGAGGTTGGCCCGAAGGCTCTTGATCCCACTGCCCGCCTGAAACTTTGGTTTAGGGTTTAGGGTTTAGGGGCCTGAACCCAGAGACTCCAATATCCCTTAATTAAGGAATATACCGTAAATCATATTAGGGATCCTACCATAGTTTAAGGAATATCCCTTAATTAAGGAATATACCTTAAATCATATAAGGGATCCTACCATAATTTAAGGAATATTCCTTAATTAAGGGATATTGGAGTCTCTGGGAAACTTTGGTGGTTCGGCTTTAAGGATAGGTTAAGTGGGTACTATAGGGTTCTTTTCAGGGATCTATATGGGTTCTATAATGGGGATTATGGGACTTAGTGACTAAGGTTATGTTATTAGGGTAACTATACTTAGAACTACTTATAACCCCAATTAAGGTACTTATTACCTTGAAGTGCCTTAACCCTAAGCCGTATAGGCAAGAAAACAAAACATAGGATTAAACCAAAAACATTGAAGGGCGTTAACCCTAAACCCTATCGGGTTGAGGGTTTTGAGACTACATCCTAAACGCTGGAGGGTTGAGGGCTGGGGATTTTGGGCTTAAACTTGGTAGGGTTTAGGAATCAGGGTTCAGAACTGCAAGCTTGAGGGGTAGGTAAAGCCTAAACCCTGTAGGGGAAGCACTAGCCCCAAAGCCCCCGAGGACACTCAAAGGCCCGCCTGCGTGCCGTAGCTGCGGGTCGCGGCCTCCACCTGGGGGTTTCCGGAAATCGGGGACCCCATAATATAGTACCCTATTTAGTAGGACCCTTATTATAAGGATCCCCAAATAAGGTTCCGCTAACTTTCGGAAACTCCCACCTTCCCATCCCCGAGCTGTCGGAAGCATTCGGCCAGGTAGGGAAGGGCACGGCGGAAGTGCCTGGCGTCGATGGCGAGGGGGAGCCAGAACTCCACTTTCTCCTTCCACACACCGGAGCGGATGCCGAAATCTTTGAAGGCCTCCTTCGAGAGGAGGTCGAAGGAGCACTTGAAGATCTTGCGGCCAGTGTCTGACTCGGGGACGATCTCAAGGCCTACACCAAGCACGTCCTCCTTGTAGCAGAGCCTGGTCACGAAACAACAGCGCTCGTGGTAGCCCTTCTCCGCGATGCGTTGAGAAACCTCCCGGAACTTGTCTAGGTCGATGATGGACTTGTAGGGGTACTTGTCGCGCTCCTCCTTGATCTTTCGCTGGATATCCTCAATGAACTTTTGATTCCTCTCGATCTTCTTGCAGACACCTTCATAGTACTCGTTGCCCCACTGCTCAACCTTCTTCTTGAGAACAGTCAGCAGCCTCTCCTCCTCTTTGCCTGGGCTTGGCTGACTCAGGTTAAGATAGTATGCTCCTGCTTCTGTATGATCACTGCAACGAAACTCCTCTGCAAGATTTACTGTGAGGTCCTATGTCTGCATCACACTTGACAACAAATTCCACCCATGCCAGCTTGACTGAAGATACCATACCCTAAACCCTAAAGTTCTGAACGGAATTTGAGGTAATGTAGGGGCCCTAATAATTAGAATAGAGTTTGGGGCCCCGTATACCATTACTATAATAAGGAGCCCCCAAACTAGCATAGGTAATCATTGAGGCCGCTGTATTAACTTCCCTCAACCCCTTTGAGCCGACCCAGTTGCTGAGGGGCTTGGCCCCCTGCGCCTTCTCTTCGAAGTTATGCTGCTTGTCACACAAGCGCTTGTGCTCCTCGGTGATCCTCTGGACACTCCAACCTCAGCTCTTGTGAAACCTACTGTCGGGCCCTCCCCTGATCAGCTTGAAAACGAAGAAATAGACACACATATAGATACTGTATATGGGAGTTTCCGAAAATTCGGGGCACCTTGTTTTGGGGTCCTTGTAATAAGGATCCTACTATTTAGGGTACTATCGTAGGAAGCCCCCATATCAAGAAGAGCCCAGCAGCCCTCGATGAGACTGAAGTCGAAGTTCTTCGTCTTGGTGGTCTCCTTCGGAGGGAGGAGACTCAAGCGTTCCTGATTATATGTGGGTGGTTGTCAAAATTCGGGCCCCTTTTTTGGGTATCTTAAATATTTGGTGCCGTATTAAACTAGGGACCCCAAAAGGGACCATAATTTTGACAACCACCCATGTATTTTATGATGGGCCCCAGAACGCTACCGAAACCCCAGACACCCCGAACTCCCGAGTCACAAGCGCGCAAACCTGCCCCTAAACCCTCTTATAAGTAGAGTTATAAGTAGGGTTATAAGTAGGGTAACTATACTTATAACCCATATTAGGGGACTTATAACCCTACTTAAAACTACCCCTGAACCTCCAAGTAAAACCTTCTCCTGCGGAGGGGGAGGAGGGTCGGTGGTGTAGTCGATCACAAGTTCCGGATACTGCGACATGGCATCCTTGATGAGGCGGTTGTTCCTAAGTTGCTGAGCCCCCCCAAAAAAACTGTAAACTTTCAGGACAATAGTAACCCCTAAACCCTAAACCCAAAACTGTAAACTTTCAGTTCAAAAAGGGGAAAATCCACAAAAGTGCAAAGTGGACTTACTCAGCAACTAAGGTTCTTAATCAGGAAGAACTTATCCTCAGCATCGAAGGTCTCTTCGAACTTCATCTGCATGGCTGTCTTGCCTGGGTTCTGGTTATGGAACGTAGTGTAAGTTACAATATCAGTGATCTTTAGCAAACACATGTAAACAACAGGGGCTCCTTTAATGGTTCTGTAACGGTTTAGGTTTTGGGATCAAGGAGCGTCATCTAAATTACAAGATTCGGAATCTAGAGTGAAGAACAAGGTTTGCTGATTCTGGTAACGAAATATCACAAAAATCTTCGCAGAAATTACATAACAGGGTTCCCGTACTGTGGTAACTCAAAGCTCAATTCCCCGTAAAATCTAAACCCTAAGCCCTGACCAGAGCCCAGTTGCTGGAGACTTCGGGATCTTCGGCGCCCGGCTGGCGACCCGAGGCTCCGGCATCCAGCACCTTCAGGCTGCTCTTCAAGAAATGGCTGCTCAGCTCCTCGTTGTACCTGATTTCCACATACGATGCTATACTATAAACACGGCATTATAATTGCCGGACTATACGATGATATACTATAGCATGATAAGACATCATAAGACCAAACTTTAAACATACTCTAATTAGCATGTAGTAAAATGCTCTGGGAAAAGCCTTTGGGCGATGGGCCCCTCAACAAACTCTTACCTGTGCCAGGTACTTCTCTGGCCCCTCTGAGCACCAGAAGACTCGGCACTTCTCTGGTAATGGAGCCTTAAACACCATTGTTAATTTAGGGCTTAAGCTAAAACCCTAAACCCTAAAACCCTAAACCCCCAAACCTCGGCTAAACCCAGAACTAAACCCTGACCTTTTTTGGAGGCCTAGGCACTTGTCCATGGTCAGGTCGATCTTGTATGGGCGCCGGGAATTGGCATCCGCCAGCGCCTTCCGCAACACCCACACGGTAACAATGTCTCCGCGCTTGTACACCTCAGGGTTTAGGGTGGTGTTTGTCAATGTCAAGTTTTCTTTGATAGTGTCAAGGTTTAGGGTTTAGGGTTTTATCAATGCGGAGAAAGTTAGAAGGTTCATGCAAGGGGGTTGCAAGGAATTCACGATGGGGATATGCTTGCGTAGCCTGCCAAACTCTGTACTCTAGGCTCTAGACCCTAAGCCCTGATACCCACTCCCCAAGATCCTGCGAATTCCTAGAGCCCGAAGCTCAGGCTTTGTTTTTAGGGCTTAGGGTTTAGGGCCTAGGGTAGCGACCTGAGCTTCGGATTATGTCCTATACTTGCAACCTAATTACCTGTGAAGTCCCCTCTAATCCTTGCCAAGACACGCTGCGGCGGTACCATCCGTCCTCGCGGGCTCGGGTCTTCCCCCATTCTACACCTTTGGGTATATGGGAGCTTCCGAAAACAGGGGACGCTAATATAACAACAACCATATGGGAGTCTTGGAAAATAGGGAACCACACCCAACATAATTAGTAGGATCCTTTTTACAAGGCTCCCAAAAGAAGGCACCCCAAATTTTCGGAAACTCCCATATGGTTGTTGTCATCTTGAGAGGCAGCCTAGAGAAGCCTATATGGCATAGCGCTGACCGCGCTGACCATAAAACTCACATCATGGGTCTCTGAACGTGAAGCGCCGAACCAGAAACTCTGTATACCCCAACCGGCAATACCAACCCACTAGCACCAAGCTTCAAAGCCAAATCCCTAAGCCTGCCTCAAAGTACCAGGACTTGGTTTCGCATGGTCGATCGGGGATCTAAGCAGACTCTCCCTTCGAGGACCTCGTCACAGCACCCGAAAAACTATAGGGTTTAGGGTTACCTTGTTGAACCTGATCAAGAATGCAAAAAGCTCTCAAACAGGTCCCAGCCCCAGTCCTCCTCCGGACCCTCGGCGAAGGCTCCGACGCCCAGCTGCGCACGAGGCAATAGGCCTACCAAGTTGTCGGACAGGGCGACGAACCTCAGATTTAGCGGGTTTGTAGAGGTTTTAAAGCTTTGGGTCCGAGGGTTGAGGGCTCTCGGGTTTGGGGAAAACGGCTACTGGCCTTAAGTATCACGAACTGCGGATTTTTAGCGGTAGGAATAGTAGTAGTCGTCGTCATCGTCGCAGTCGCAAGAGTCGTAGTTGCAGCAGTGACAGTAATGGCAGTGCTAGTACTAGTACTAGTACTGGTAACAGGTACCAGGACCAGTAGTCGTGGTAGTAGTAGTCGTCGTCGTAGTCGTAGTCGTGGTGGTGGTAAGTAGAAGTAGTAGTAGTAGTAGTAGCAGCAGCAGCAGTAGTAGTAGTAGTATTTAAAGGCTTAAGCTTTTTGGCACTGTCATGAACGTAATGCCGCAGTTTATCAGTCGGGAATCATATTGTAAGAAGCGTCGTAGAACAGTGCGTGGATTACTCTGGCACTGGGGTGTTCTTCTAGTCCAGGATTCCCAACACTACAGGCTGTGGCACAGCTCACACCAGCTCTGCACGGAGACTACGGTCTACCTAAGAGACCTGCTAAACTTAATGTCATCCGAAACAACCCAAGGTGACAAACACTAACGCAGGAACCTGCGTAAGAAATCCTGGTATCAAAACCACCGAAATAGCAGGATTAATACAAGGATTCCTAAAAGAGCCCAAGGTTTCTTGATCAGGTTTCTACATTACTCCAGACCTAGGGGCAGCCCCAAATGCGAGGTGTCCACAACGATGCCCTCGTGCTTGCCCCCGATGCGTAGCTCCTCCAGGCTCCCGCGAGAGCTAAGGATTTTGGGCCCCTTTATACTATACTATACCTTAAGCCGGAATAACCTATCTTTTTAGGGTTCCTTATTATGATTTCCTTATATAAGTCCTTAAAAAGGTAGGTTATTCCGGCTTGAGGTACTTAATATAAGGAACCCCCCAAAATCGTAGAGGGGGGGGGGGTTTTGGCCTTTGGAAGGTGCAGCTCCTCGAATGTCAGGCGCGGCTGTAGTGAAAGCTTCATCCGTCTCTGGTTGATATCGACCTCGCTGATGTACACCACCACCTCTGGCAGATTAGGGCTTCAGGGTTTAGGGCTTCAGGGTTTAGGGTTTAGGGTTTAGGGCTTCAGGGTTTAGAGTTTTTTTTTTTGAGCACCTTTTTCCATCCGCCTAAAGTCTTAGGACTCCGGAATTCGCTTAGCGAAAGGCAAGTATGGACCCTCTCAGGACTTCAGGAAGTGTTCGACTCCATCGCACCCTCATACTCTTCAGTCTCCCATAACCCTTTCAGGTACCCTGCGACCCTTTGGGTTTAGGGTTTAGGGTTTAGGGGTTTAGGGATCACTGGTTGGTAAATTCGCAGCTGGGGCCTCGCGTCTTGATTGGGTCACTACAGAGTACCTGGGGTCCGTGGGTTTATTTCACAGCGAACTCCTAGGATGCCCAGTAAACTTGGAATAAAAAGGGCTCCCTTTTTGGTATTGGGTAACTTTATAGGGAACCTACGACTACAAAAAGGGAATAAGGGTACTACTGGGCATCCTAGACCCTTCAATGCCCTCAAACCCGTCTTTGCCTAAACTGCCAGAACTCTAGACTTAGCTGCCCAGCGGCAGGGTCGACTTAGACTTCACTTCCACCGTACTCCCTGAACCCCCATAGTATAGGGGCCTTAGTAGTGGTGCATTATACTATATAGAGCTATAATATCGAACCCCCAAAAGAGCATGGGTAGTTATAAAGGTGCCCATACCCTCGGAAAACACCGATTTGACTGACTTCCAGAGCCCCGAAACCCGCAAGAAGCAGCTGCTCGCTACGCGTGGCTTTGGGGTATATGGGGAGTTTCCGAAAATAGGGGGACCCTACTATAGTACCCTAAAGAATAGGATCCTTATTATAAGGACCCCAAAGAAGGCACCCCTAATTTTGGGAAACTCCCATATGCTGGCATAATTATGTACGAACCATGAAGCAGTACTATTTCTAATTGTCCGTGGAGACTACCCATGCTTCTTTTTCGGGATGGCCAGCTTTACAGCGAGTATGCGACAATAGGGGAACAATGTAATATAGCGGCTGTAATTAATGATAAGAGTAGGGTTTGGGGGCTCATTATACAATAACTATAAGGAACCCCCGGAAATAGTATTTAAGGCCCCTACATTAACACAAGAAAGGAAATTCAACGGTCCAGGCCGTACATTCGCACAGCCTTAAACCACACAAAAATCCAACTCCCAGACTACAGTACCCCTTCAAACGTCCAAGCCCCAAACCCGAAAACCCTAAAAACCCTGCACCTCTGCACCCCAAACCCCTCTTTAAACCCATAAACCCTTGAAAAACTCCTAAGCCCTTTACCCAGAGGCCCCAAAGTAGGGATCACCCGCTAAGATTCTATATATGAACCCCCAAAAAGGAACTTCTTTGGGGCCTTAGGGTACTTGAAGGATGATGGGACTTAGTAACTAAGGTCATTATTAAGGTAACTATCCGAAAAACTGCTTATAACCCCATTAAGGTACTTATAACCTTACTTACTAAGTAGACCCTAAACCCTAAACCCTATAGATCCCTTTATAAGGAACCCTATAGATCCCTCTAAGGAGCCCTGTAAGGAACCTTACTAAGTCCCATGATCCTCCAAGTAGAGCCTCCGAACCCCTCTACCCGAAGCAGAGCTTCTCATAGGGATCCTTGGGGGTGTAGGGGGGAGGGGTGTAGGGGACTATATTTCCTTAAATAGGCCTTATTAGTCCTTATTATGGGCCTTAAGGCCCCCTACCCGCCCTCCCCCTACACCCCTAAGGATCCCTATGAGCTTCGGCCTCCGCCGGCCCAAGCGTCTGACGGCCCATCTGCTCGAAAACGTTCCTCAAGTGGGGTTTCGGGTTTAAGGGTAAGCTTTAAAAAAGGGTAAGTTTATAGGGCTTAGGGTAAGTTTAGGGTATAGGGGGTTAGGGTTTAGGGTAAGTTTAGGGTTTAAGGGTAAGTTTAGGGCTTAGGGTAAGTTTAGGGTTTAGGGTAAGTTTAGGGTTGAGGGGCTTAGGGTTTAGGGTAAGCTTAGGGTTTAGGGGTAAGTCTAGGGTTTAGGGTATTAGGGTTTAGGGGTTTAGGGTTTAGGGAAGCTTCGGGTTCAGGGTTTCAGAAAGTGATGCTCTGGTGTCCAGAAAGGTATCAGGGTTTACAGTAGAAGCCAAAAAGTTGGAAAGCCCACAGCCTCAATCCTTAAGGGTAATGTATAGGGAATCCCAGCACTATTTGGCCTTAATCTGGTTTCCAACTTTATGGGGTTTACTAAAGGGCGGGGGTGTTTTGGAAAACCAGAAGGGCTTTTATACGTTACTGTTGGGCTACCGGGCTAGGGCTAGGGTTTGGACTGCATGGCTTGGGAAGTTTCGGGGGGTTCTGTGCGAGTTTCAGAAAATCGCAGGGCTTCAGGAGAATCCCCAGAATGTAAGATCAAGCTTCAAAATCCCCTTCCGCACTTGGGGTCCTAGAAGAGTTCCTGTACAAAGAATTTTTCACGGGGTTCTATGAGTGAATATTTCAATCACTCAGGCCATCACAGAAGCGGTGTTTGCTGATCAGGGGTCTGCCGTAACAGCACACGGGCCTTGTTGATCATGCACTGAGCATTGCTACGATACTGTCAGACTGGGTGTATATAGACCCAAGAACTGTGGCCAGTTAAGCAGTATGCTTCAAGATGCCATCATCAGGAAAGCCTGCTATTTGTCGCACGGTACATCTCCATGATGGCAACCAAGTATCGGCCCGAGAACCCCTTCTGAAACTCTGCTAAACCTCTACCAACCCCTTACAAGCCCCAGCCCAAAACCCTAAGACCCCAGCCCAAAGGCCTAAACCCTGCACCGAAAGTACCTTATAACCCGAAACCCCAAACCCTCGACCTTGGACCCCAAACCCTAAGACTCCGTAGTGGGATCAAGGATCCCGTTCACCATGACGGAACTGTCGCGGTTGCCGCGGTTGCTGCCCTCTTCGGCACTTCGGGGCGGCCAGGAGGGCCGCATGTACGGGAGGCACGGCAGCAGGCCGTCCTTCGAAGGAGGATCCAAGATCCCTTTAAATCTATTTGGGCGTTTACAAAAATTATGGCTACCTTAGTTTGGGGTCCTTATAACAAGGATCCTACCTTTTAGGGTACTATATTGGGGTCCCCTATTTTCGGAAACTCCCACTTGGGCTCCTCTAAGGGATCTACAGGGTTTAGGGTTGGGGGGACTCAGGGGGTATTGGAGTCTCTGGGTTCTCGGGGGTTACACTTAAGGCTTTGTGTCAGCCTTGAGGCTTTAGTTGGGGTTGGAGGGTTTGGGCCTGGTTAGGCTTTATAGCTTTAGGGTTTAGGGTTTAGGCTTTATAGCTTTAGGGTTTAGGAGTTTAGGGGTTTAGGGGTTTAGGGGTTTAGGGTGTAGGGCCCTGGGGCTAGTTGGCTTAGAGCTAAGCTAAGGCTTGGGGCTCAGAGCAATCTGTTGCGAGTTACGTTTGAAGGGCTTGGGGCTGTCTGGATTCGAGACCCTCGAAGGGATGAACACATGGATGAAGAGACTTCGCAAAGCACACTGCCACGCCCATCATGCGTGTTGGGTTTGGGGTATCATCTCGTGTTCCCAGACCTCATCCCTCTCAGATGTCTCTAAGTCCTACCTCCCAATCAGCGATTGCCCGTCCTGCAGCATCTTGGTCTCACCGTCGCTCTTGCCTGCTTCTAGTTCAGTTACTTAGTCACTACGTCACCAACATGCCGACATCTTCTATATACTATGCTGTAAGAACTTACCATGAACATAGGCTTCTCAAAGCAACCTATACTATGCTGTAAGGTACTTGCTATGAACATAGGCTTCTCAACGCAACCCGGCTGCCCTTGCCCTTGCCCTTCCCCTTGCCCTTGCCCTTGCCCTTCGACAGTCGGCCACCAGACACCAGCCTGGGCGTTTAAGTAACCAAGGAGACAAAGTATGAAACTTGTATTTCATAATGGTTCCTTAAGAAAAATATTACACTTGTATTTCATAATGGTTCTCGTAAGAAAGAAGTATGGAACTTGCATCTCATAATGCTTCCTTGAAGAAAAACGTATGAAACTTGTCTTTGATAATAGCTCCTTTGAGAAGAAGTATGAAGCAATTTCATAATGGTTCCTTTAAGCAAAAAGTATCAAACTTGTATTTCATATTGGCTCCTTTAAGAAAGTAGTATGGAACTTGCAATTCATAAAGCTTCCTTTAAGACAAAAGTATGAAACTATGGTACTCCAAAACCCAGCGGCTTGTTGTTTTGCACAGCCAGGTCCCTGGGAGTAGCGTCGAGGCTCACAAAGGCACCAAAGTCCTGCAGGGAAAGCTAACTACTATGACTATGAACCCCTAAACGCAATTAGAAAACACCGACAGCCCCTTAAGATGCTATAAACGCCCAAATCCTAAAATCCCGAACCTGACAAAGGCACCAAAGTCCTGCAAAGACCTCACGGTACCGCGGAGGGGCACATTGAGCTTGCAAAGCACCGAGAGAAGCCTGGGTTGTTGCTATTCTATCTAAGTTCCTCAGGACAATAAAGCACAGCAACATCGGATGCAACCAGAAAAAACCCAGGAAACAATTTTGCCACTAATAACCGTCACAAAACCTGACACAAATCTGTTAAAACCCCTGCTCAAGCCTCTACATTAAAATGAACGTTCGATATTCCTACGACGAATACCTATTGCTGATGTTCACTCTATGACTCTGATCTAAAACTACAAGCTTTTATAGTAATCATCATCATTATCATAATCATAAACAGTAATGGCAATAATAACAGTAAGAATCATAATAACCCCTATGATAACCGCAATAATAACCATAATCACAAATACTCGGAGGCCTCACAAGGTGGGATGAAGGTAGGTGGGATCAAGGATCCCTTATATAAGGACTCTTGTTTGGGAATATCCCACCTACCTTCATCCTACCTTTTGAGGCCCCCGAAATACTACCACCGAAACCCGGCAGCTGCCAGGAGCCCGGGTGGCCGCGATCCGCCGGGAAGTTCTCGGGTGTGAGGACCGCGCTGCGCAGCGTGAGGAGGCTGCGCTCGGAGGCCATGGAGATCCTTCTTGGGGGGCTTTATAAAGGGATTAAGGGATTTATAAATTTGTGTTAAGTGTTCCTTTAAGGAATCCTTTAAGGGGCTTTAGGGATTAAGAGATTTAAGTTTTTTAAGGGTTCCTTTGAGGAATCCTTTAAGGGTTTTTAGGGGTTAAGGGAGTTAGGGTTTAGGATTTTGGGTTTAGGGCGTCCTTTAAGGGGGTTAGGGTTTAGGGTTTAGGGCCTAGGGTTGATTCCCCTTTTAAAGGTACCTTATGAGGGTTCTCTATGGAGATCCTTTAAAGGGTTTTGGGGATTAAGGGATTTAGGGCTTAGGGGTTTAGGATTTTGGGTTTATATAGTAGGGATTTAGGGGCTTAGGGTTTGGGGTTAATTCCCTTTTAAAGGTACCTTATGAGGGCTCCCTTTTGCAGGTTCTATGAAAGTCCTTTTGGGGGTTTTGAGGGGGTTCCCTCTTTAGGGTGCTAGAAGGGTGCTGCAAGGGTACTACCAAGGGCAGCGGGTTTTAGGGTTTTGGGGTTTAAGTTTTTAGGGTTTGAAAGGTACCTTATGAGGGTTCCCTTTTTAAAGTTTCAGGGGTTCCCTTTTGGGGTACTGTAGAGGTTAGGGTTCTCGGCATGGAGTTTTAGGGCTTAGGCATATACATGGGAGTTTCCGAAATTAGGGGTACCTTATTTTACGGTTCTTATAAGGAGGACCCTATTATTTAGGGTACTATTAGGGTCCCCTATTTTCGGAAACTCCCACATCTACATATACATATCATGCTTTTACGGTTTGGGGTTGGCTCATTGGGTCAAGAGTTGGAAGTGGGCCGAGAAGGGTTTGAGAAGTTCATGGAAGATCCTCCTTGGGTTGGGGTTTGGAATTTCGGGTTTAGGCTTTAAGGTAGGGGGTTCAGGGTTTAGGGCTTGGGATACGGTTTAGGGATTTAGGGTTGGGGTTAAGGCTTGTCCTGGCACTCCTGTGAAAATCTTCGTGGGTTGGATCTGAGAATTCAAGCTGTCCGGAATCCATCTGCAAGGACCCCTCTTTCCACCAAGTGATCCTAAAAGTGGCCTGAATGAGTAGCAATAGCATGTAGTATTAAGACGCCATCTACGATCTCTAAACATTTTTTTCATTCGCAGCGGTAGTGTCATCTCCTGACGCTCGCCTAGCAAAAGATGAATTCAAGTGAAACGTGGAAGGCTCAAGACGCTGAGCTGAGCCCGCTTGGGTCCAGAACTAGACCGCATGCCTCAAGCCAGTCGCATGCAGGCCCTAAGGCTGTTGCGAGGTTAGGGCAGAGTAGTCTAGAAGGCCCGAACGTGGCTGCTTCGGCACAAGTGACACATGCCAAGGTCGCTGCTTCAAGCCAGTCGCAGTAGGCTGAAGCCTGGCGAACAGTGCAGCTGGTTGGTCCCAGGTGCGACATCCGCACGGGGGGCGGTGGTTGCAGTGTCTTGACAAGGGTCGTGCCGGTAAGGACACAGGGGATGGGCCCTGGCAAGTCCCACACTGTGTCCCATTCGCCGGTTGCAGGGGTCTTCTTGGACTCCGGTTGGCGGGACTCCGCTAAGACGTCAGGGTCCAGTAGCAGGAGAATATTCTCAGCTACCTCGGCATGCCAGGCAGACGAACTGTGCAAAGTCTGCCAATATCGAACTGTCCTTCTGAGGGTGGTGACAGGTTCGATATACAGCTCAACTGTCTCAAAGACCTCGGCTTCTGAGCACTGGTCAAGCTCTTGGAGAGCCTCCAAAAGTGTCCACGAAATGCCCTCGTCTGCACTCGGGTCCAGGAGGTCCGGACTGGGTGCTCCGGTCGCAGTCGGTGGTGCGAGGGGGTGCACGTGGGCCTTGAGCGTCGCAGCGGACGGTTCAAATTGCCCCCACTGAGCAATGCAGCGCGCACTCGCAACCAGATGCCTGCGCAGCCTACCTCGGGAGGCAAAGGCTTTGGTACAGGCCCTACAAATGTGGTCAGTTGGGAGCAGAAAAGCTGTAGAACGGTAGCCGTGCTTACGCGCTGCGTGCCCCGCCCACGAAACAAGGGTGGGAAAACTTCTCTTGCAAGGCACACAGAGGTGTGCATGGACAGGGCGTTGGGGTATGCCATCGGCCGGTCTCATACCACCTTCAGCGAGGGCATGTAGTCCTCTGTGGAGCCCATCAAGCGCAGCCCGTACACGATATTGGGCAGTGGCAAGGGCACGAGCCCGTTTACACAGCCCCTTGAACTTACCGGGACACCGGACAATGTTATCAGCCCAAAAATCCCAGTCCGATCTAGGATTTGGCCAGTCGGTGGTAGCGTGACACCAGGAGAACAGCCAGTCGAGATCGGCTTGAAGCAGCTGGGCATACGCCGTATCAGCTCGCACAACGGCCCACAACGGGTCAGGGCCTGCCCGCAAGAGCTGAGAGAGGTATGAAAGCCTGGCTCCTCGCAGGGTGACCGTGGCATCAGGTAGCTGAAGAACTGCGTGGACGGTGGCGGCTGAAATGTGCTGGTCAGCCTTGGCACTGACCGCCAGGATTCCGCGGTAGAACGACCAGAGTGCTCCGGAGAACAGGCGAAATTCACGTCCATTCAGTGGAGGCCAACTCCCAGCTCCCTGCAGGAGTCTGGAAAGCACTGTGGAGCACAGGATGGCGGCCCGGCGCGGGAGCGAGATCGCCTTAGCGCGGAATACTTTTCTTCTGCCTTCAACGAAGGCAGCTCTAGCTTGGCCAACTCGGTAACGCAGCTCATCGCTCATGCGCCCGTAGGGTGCTTGCATTGTCCCTAGATGTTTATAGTATGACGGCAGGGGAAGATGGGTGCCTGGTAGGTGCTCGAGGAGCACGGGAATCTGCCCTTTGAGACCAGCAGTGCTAAAGAGGCTGCGTTTGGCCGTCCTGCTGTTGGCTCCACAAATCGTCGCCACTGCCGCAGTCTTGTGGGCTCCAAACGACAGCTTGAATCCATGTTCGAGGAAAGCCTCCGAGACGGCTGTGGTCTCAGCTCGGATGGCTGGTACCATGAGCGAGGCATCACACACCTTAGGGGTAGCAATGTCATCCGCCCAAATGACATCTTCAATAGCTATTGCAGCACTGGTCGAGGGGACGGGGTCTAAACACCTGCGACCGTCCCAGCGAATCTGGGGAACGCTGGCTGGGCTGTTGAGGCCCTGCAGGATTGCTGAGCGCCGTCGAAGAATGCGCGGCAGCAAGATTGCAAAAAGCACGTCTGCCCACGCACTTCCTGGCCGGGTTCCCCTTGAAGTGCTGACCGGTCTGTCGTCACCAGCCAGAAGAAACCAGTTCTGGGAGCTGATGCCAGTAGCAAGGTGCTGGAGCCAATCGGAGGCTCCAGCTTCGGCCAGGGCAGACCCCTCGGTGAGATGCTGCGCAATTTCATCGAGGGCTTCACGGGGCAAGTCGAGAGTACGCAGGACTTCGGGTATGCCCTCTGAGGAGGACTTATGGGCCGGGGAGCTAGAGATCAGCTGCACCAAAGCACTGTAGAAGGCAGCGGAGATGTCAGCAAACAAAACAAAGCATGCTTGCTTTTGCTGGGCAGCTGTTCTGACTAGGGATCGTACAAGCTGGGAGCCGAAGACCACGCTACAGCCGCTTTTGCCGCCTAATTGCAGGTGGGGTGCTGTGTCCTGATAGATTTGCTTGATGGGCGGTCGGAATGCCTGGTGAAAAGCCTTGGCCCACGAGGTCATAAGGAGGATCGACCTGAAAGACCCGCATTCGGTCTTGCTGCCCCTGCCCTTGTACAGGGTGACTGCTTGTCCTCCCTTAAAACCGGCGGGCTCCGACCCCCTCCAAGCAACCTTTAGGAGAAGGGGAAAAAGCAAATGCGCCGAGAGTGCCGGAAAATGCTTATTCAGTTCCGGCGGAATCGCATCCATCCCGGGTGCCTTTCCTACCTTCGTGGCAGAAAGGACTCGCCGCAGGTCGGTGATGCTTGGCACCTCACCGATATGCGCTGGGCACGGCGCAGATCCCTGGAGGCTCGCCACAGAGTTAGCGGCAAGCTCTTGAAAAGTGGTGGGCGTGCCGCCCTCAATGCGTGCAAAGTGTGCGCGCCACTGAGAATGGGCGGTCGCTGCGTCGGGACATGGCTCTCCCTCGGGAAGCTCGAGCTGGGGCAGCGGCTCGAGCGTAAACTTCTTTTTGCGCCGGTGCATGAGCAGGCGGTGCAGAGCCGCGTAAGCCTCCTTGGTTGGGGTCGTCGAGATTTCATGAGCCAGGGTGGCAGTGTACTGGTCCCTGTCGGTACGGCATGCTTTGCGGAGCTGTTTGCATGTAGCATTAAGCTCCTGCTGGAGCCGCTGCCGAGCATCTTCTGCCTGCAGGGACCACGCATTGCCTTGTTTTTGCAAGGCAGCAAAGCTGAGCTTATGAGCCCAAGCCTGGAAAGCCACCGCCTGTACATTCCGGGCAATATGACCCATAAGCCGATGCAGCTCCCGGCGCAAACGAGCGGCCTGTTGCTGCAATGCCCAGGTTCCGTCGGACAGGTAGGGGTGGCGAGGGCGCTTGGGTCTGTTGTCCTGGAGTTGCGCCAGTCCTCGCTGGACATGTTCAGTGAGAATGGCAGCATGCGCGTGGACGGAGACTTCCCAAGAAACACTGGGTGCACTTGCAAGGACCTGCTCGACAGCAGCGCGGTTGGTTGGGTCGCAAAGCAGGGCTGGTGCCAAGGTGCGCCTGCCAAGCGTCGGCACAGAGCGCTTGGAGCGCAGGGTAGCGCATGCAGCAACACAGACAGCTACGTGGTCGGGTGTCGCATGCGCGGCGTGAATGCTGGGCTCGCACCAGGAGGAGATCTGGCCTCCTTCCCAAGCCTTGGGTATGGCAAGGTAATCTACCCGGCACGGGACCTTCCCATTCTTATGGACGTAAGTGAAGGAAGGCCCTGTATGGTACTGGTCAAAAGTGGCCGGCAGGAAAGTCTGTGACTCCCGGAGCAGGGTGTGCAGGTGCTCTCCGGGCATGTCTTGATCGTCAGCAGCA